ACTGGGATATTTGCACAGGGTTGGTGTACGGTGATTTTTTCTGCAATATTTTGCTGTCTTTTCTTGGATTTTCTGTTTGCACATATTAACTTTAAGATGTTTACTTGTTCATGTTTTTGTTTTTTGTTTGTTGCGGTTGCACCCGATTCAAGAGCCGAATGGCTCACAGGGCTATACCTAATAAATGAACTTGAACTTTAAACCACTTCGACCTTGCGCACCTGGACAATGACTTCCATGTCTGTTCACTCTCGAATTACACGATTGCTGCTTCAGTGATTAAACAGCTCTGCTGAACACACAGCCAATATATTTGACCATAACGCGTAGGCTGTCGCGACCAATATTATCGATAATGAAGGGTTTTCATCAGGCGACAATTCTGATGAGGCTGGTTGTAATCTCCAGCGCGAAACGTCGTTCACGAATTGTAAATGTTGTGGTTTAACTCTCCAACACACCGGTGTGCTCAAGTCGTAACTAATTGACACGTTTTATTTACGCGACAAACCTTACTAATGACCATACTTCACCACTCCGACCTTGCACACACAGACCTAACTTTAGCCTCTGAATTGCCTCGTGTAAGACGCTTCAAAGCACCGGTCACACACACACACACATCCCCGGCTTGCACGCAAGCCCGTCATCGCAAACTTGAAGTTTTCAAGTTCAACGAGAAAGAGAGAACGAGAGGGAGAGTCGAGGGTTGAAAGAGACGGTGAGGGGTGGTGGTGAGTGGGTGGTGGTGGTGAGGGATGGTGGTGGTGAGGGGGGGTGGTGGTGAGGGATGGTGGTGAGGGGGGGTGGTGAGGGGGGTGGTGGTGGTGGTGAGGGATGGTGGTGAGGGATGGTGGTGAGGGGGGTGGTGGTGGTGGTGAGGGATGGTGGTGAGGGGGGATGGTGAGGGGGGGTGGTGGTGGTGGTGGGGATGGTGGAGGGATGGTGGTGAGGGGGGGTGGTGGTGGTGGTGAGGGATGGTGGTGAGGGGGGTGGTGGTGAGGGGGTGGTGAGTGGGTGGTGTGGAGGGATGGTGGTGAGGGGGGGGTGGTGGTGGTGAGGGTGGTGGTGTGGAGCGATGGTGGTGAGGGGGGTGGTGAGGGGGGTGGTGAGGGGGGTGGTGGTATGGGCTGGTGGTGAGGGGGGTGGTGGGGGTGATGGTGGTGAGGGTGGTGGTGGTGAGGGTGGTGGTGTGGGCTGGTGGTGAGGGGTGGTGGTGAGGGTTAGGGTGGTGAGGGTGGTGTGGGCTGGTGGTGAGGGGGGTAGTGGTGAGGGTGGTGGTGGTGAGGGTGGTGGTGAGGGGCTGGTGGTGGTGAGGGTGGTGTGGGCTGGTGGTGAGTGGGAGGGTGGTGAGGGGGGTGTAGGTGAGGGGGGTGGTGGTGAGGGTGGTGGTGAGGGCTGGTGGTGGTGAGGGTGGTGGTGAGGGTGGTGGTGAGGTGGGGTGGTGGTGGTGAGGGTGGTGAGGGGGGGTGGTGAGGGGGGTAGTCGGTGGCCAACAGCCGAACGAAGCCTGTCCCGCTGGGCCGCAGCCGCGACCTCTGCGTGGACGAGCTCTTGCAGCGGCGGCAAAAGAGGTGTGGTACAGGGGAGTGGGTGGTGTGAAACCGCGGCCGAAGACTGTAACGAGAGAGTAGGAGACAAGGGGGAGGAGAGAGAGAGAGAGAGGCTCACGCCGAGTTGAGGTCCGAGCGCCAACGCCGATCTCCTGAGTGCCGCCATCGCCTCGTCTCTTGCCCGCAGCAGCCTCCAAGGTGACAGCGCAGCCGCACTTCCGCTACGTCACTTCCGTTGCCCCCCCCCCCCCCGCGAGAATTCGATTTACGACGATTCCGATTTATTGGATCGATTCATTTTCGCGCTGTCGATTCGGAGTCGATGATGATTATTGATTTGTGTGTGTGTGCGGTTGAACTTCTTTCGCGCCGTACGTTGCCCGCTCTCTCTCGCGCTGCGTCACTTCCGTTCCCCACACCCCCCCCCCCCGCGAAAACTCGATTTACGACGATTCCGATTTTATGCATCGATTCATAATCACGCTGTCGATTCCGAGTCGGGGATGATTATTTATTGATTTGTGCGTGCGGTTGAACTTCTTTCGCGCCGTACGTGGCATCAAAATAACAATAAACTAAAACAACAAAGAGCAGTTAGTGAGTTTTCGTGTCGAGATTGAAAAAGTTGCATCTGTAGACTGTACGGATTGAGATCGATTATGCGTTAAACTGTGATGGAAAACAGAATTTCTAAGCTGCTGCTATTTCACGCTGTATGTCGATTGTTATACCAGGCCGACGATGTCTTAATCGAATCGTGAGGGAAAATGTATCGATTAACGACTCCAGATTTTCCCTTCACATTTATAATCAACGTGGTGTTTTTGTATTTTGCTGCGATAAATGTGCAGGTGATAAGCCACTTCGTTCGCTTCTGACAAATAGCTAATAGTCATTTTTAGTGATTTGCTTAGGGGCGTCCATAAATGACGTCACGCGATTTTGGACGAGTTTTGACCCCCCCCCCCCACGCGGCGTCACAAAAAGTCAGACCCCCCCCCCCTCAAAAATGACGTCACAAAGCTCTGCCCCCCCCCCAAAAAAATATAAAACATGCTTCAAATCGCGTTAAACTATTGTCATTGTAGTGCGTATTAATGTGGCGCTGCACTCTGATGTTGTAGGAGAACACATTTATTAAAAAGTCTATTTAATTAAGTGGAACGTGTTGTCTATATTATTTAAAGTTGCGCATTTTGATGTGACGTCACGTTTCTCAAACCCCCCCCCCCTCGTCACACATCGTCACAATGTCTAACCCCCCCCCCCCCAGGTGCGTGACGTCATTTATGGACGGCCCCTTACCTTTCCTATACTTTTTACTCCATATTATTTTTTGTATTGTTTGTTGTTGTAACTTTCCTACTCGTCCCTTACTGGACATCTTCATAGCTCATCGTATTTCTCCAGGATAAATAAACATTCTGAATCTGTGTTGGGATTGGAAGAGCCATGGGCAGTCGTCCGTTGATGACGTTACGTCCTGTGCTGCAACACTTCCCTAACCAAGATGGCCACTAACACCCACGAAAGGTGACCACTCACACACCACTAAAGATAGCCGCTGACACACCCCCACTAAAGATGGCCGCTCACACACTACTAAAGATGGCCGCTCACACACACCTACTAAAGATGGCCGCTCACACACACCTACTAAAGATGGCCGCTCACACACACCTACTAAAGATGGCCGCTCACATACGCCACTAAAGATGGCCGCTCACATACACCCACTAAAGATGGCCGCTCACATACACCCACTAAAGATGGCCGCTCACATACACCCACTAAAGATGGCCGCTCACATACACCCACTAAAGATGGCCACTCACATACACCCACTAAAGATGGCCACTATACACCTACTAAAGATGACGCTCACACACCCCCACTAAAGATGGCCGCTCACACCCCACTAAAGATGGCCGCTCACACACACCTACTAAAGATGGCCGCTCACATACACCCACTAAGGATGGCCGCTCACACCCCCACTAAAGATGGCCGCTCACACACACCTACTAAAGATGGCCGCTCACATACACCCACTAAGGATGGCCGCTCACATACGCCCACTAAAGATGGCCGCTCACAACACCTACTAAAGATGGCCGCTCACATACACCCACTAAATATGGCCGCTCACATACACCTAAAGATGGCCGCTCACATACACCCACTAAGGATGGCCGCTCACCCCCACTAAAGATGGCCGCTCACACACACTACTAAAGATGGCCGCTCCACACACCCACTAAAGATGGCCACTCTCACACACCCCCACTAAAGATGGCCGCTCACATACACCCACTAAAGATGGCTACTCACATACGCCCACTAAAGATGGCCGCTCACACCCCACTAACCTTTAACCTTCTAGAAAACAAACAAAAACTCAAACACGTTCGTCAATAAAACTGCGCCCTTAAAAGAAAGAGAAAAAAACGTCCATCCTGCTCATACGTCCACTGTCACAGCATCGGAAGTGGGCGGGGCGAGCTTATCGGGCAGGGCGGGGCGAGCTAATCGGAAGTATGGATGCTCGGAAGTGGGCGGGGCAATCGGAAGTGAGTGAGACTACTCGAAAGTGGGCGGGGCTAATCGGAAATGGGCGGGCTAATCAAAAGTGGGCGGGACTACTCGGAAGTGGGCGGGGCTAATCGGAAGTGGGCGGGGCTAATCGGAAGTGGGCGGGGTTAATCGGAAGTGGGCGGGGCTAATCGGAAATGGGCGGGCTAATCAAAAGTGGGCGGGACTACTCGGAAGTGGGCGGGGCTAATCGGAAGTGGGCGGGGCTAATCGGAAATGGGCGGGGCTAATCAAAAGTGGGTGAGACTACTCGAAAGTGGGCGGGGCTAATCTGAAGTGGGCGGGGCTAATCGGAAATGGGCGGGGCTAATCAAAAGTGGGTGAGACTACTCGAAAGTGGGCGGGGCTAATCGGAAGTGGGCGGGGCTAATCGGAAGTGGGCGGGGCTAATCGGAAGTGGGCGGGGCTACGGAAATGGGCGGGGCTAATCAAAAGTGGGCGAGACTACTCGAAAGTGGGCGGGGCTAATCGGAAGTGGGCGGGGCTAATCAAAAGTGGGCGGGACTACTCGAAAGTGGGCGGGTACTCGAAAGTGGGCGGGGCTAATCGGAAGTGGGCGGGGCTAATCGGAAGTGGGCGGTGCTAATCGGAAGTGGGCGGGGCTAATCGGAAGTGGGCGGGGCTAACCGGAAGTGGACGGGGCTAATCGGAAGTGGGCGGGGCTAATCGGAAGTGGGCGGGGCGTCGCATCGGCAGAGAACTTCACTCCACGTGGTCGCTTCTCCTCCTCCGACTTCCCGCGCCCGCGAGGTTCCTCCGTGAAGCGAATCGCCGCCGAGAGGAACCGAGCGGCTCGTTTCGTTCTTCCCGCGCTCAGAGAGAGACACGAGCACAGCATCAGCCCACCCCCCGCCTGGAACTTTCGCGATGGTGAGGAACAGTCGGGGAGGGAGCAGCTGCGGCGGCGTGGTGCGGCCTAGTCGCGCAGGCTTCACGGCGCACGTGTGCGAGGAGAGTTTGGGGTTGTAAGCGATGAACACTTTTAGTCGGCGACACAAACTTTAAACAACTAACTGTGGAAGAGGCGACGTTTTTAGGGTAGTGGATTTTAATATCGCGTTAGCGAGAGGGGAGGATAATCTACGAAGAAAGGGGCCCTTGGCCCTGATTGTAGCCTGTTATATTTAAATGTTAAGGGACCAAACGCGTTGGTGGTTAATGTGTTGCGAGATATTTTTGTGCTATTGCTGCACAACCATTTAGTTTGTTTGGTGGTGATAGTGGTGCTGCATTTTAGCGGCGGTGCTGATGGTGAGCACTGCTTGTGGGAGACTCGTGGTGGTAGTTGATTGAAGGGGAGCGGTAGTGTAGCGGTTAGCGGCCAACACCGGTGACGATTAACTGAACCGGTCCTAGGTCGACTCGGCCTCAAATGAGTACTGGTGCGGTGTGTAAACATCGCCACCGGGGAGACAAAGGCGGTCGGGCGTGGCGCTGGCCACCCACCCCCTCGTGTACCTGTTCCCCCACCCACTTAGGGCGCCGGCGTGCGCGACCACCAAAGGTGGAGTGGCTTTCTCGCCATGTGGGAGGTGGTGGGAATGATATTCTTAGGTTTTTTCGCTAAAGTCACGTAGGTAAAACATCAAAATTAATAAAAATAAAATAAAGATCACGACGTTCGGAGGCAACACAAGTCTCCGTCATCAAGTGAGGCAATGAATCATTGCCTCACTTGATGCAGCTAATCTGGCTGTGACGGTCCCACCTGATGACGGAGACTTGTGTTGCCTCCGAAACGTCGTGATCTTTATTTTATTTGTATTAATTTTAATGTTTTACCTACGTGACTTTACCGAAAAAACCTAAGAATATGAATCATTGCAGTCACGAAAGCTTCAAATCTAGAAGTGGTGGGAATGAATTTATTTGTCTATATTTTGCAGAGTGAAGCGGAGGTGAACCCCAAGGCGTACCCGTTGGCGGACGCCACCCTCACCAAGACGATGCTGGACTTGGTGCAGCAGGCGTCCAACTACAAGCAGCTGCGCAAGGGAGCCAACGAGGGTGAGAGAGTGTGGGGGGGGCTTACATGAACGGAATGTGCTCCCTCGGTTGTTTGCGATCGTCGCTGTCCGCGAAGTCGCAAACCTGGAACTTCTACACGGCTGCATTGAGAGAGCGGTAGAGCGATGAGAGGCAGAGGGATGGGAGGTGAAGCGATGAGATGTAAGGGGATGATAGGCAGAGGGATGGGAGGCAGAGGGATGATAGGCAGAGGGATGATCAGGGATGAGGCAGAGGGATGGAGGCAGAGGGATGGGAGGCAGAGGGATGGGAGGCAGAGGGATGGGAGGCAGAGGGATGGGAGGCGAGGGATGGGAGGCGAGGGATGTGAGGCGGAGGGATGGGAGGCGGAGGGATGGGAGGCGAGGGATGGGAGGCAGAGGGATGGGAGGCAGAGATGGGAGGCAGAGGGATGAGGCAGAGGATGGGAGGCAGAGGGATGGGAGGCAGAGGGATGGGAGGCAGAGGGATGGGAGCAGGGATGGGAGGCAGAGGGATGGGAGGCAGAGGGATGGGAGGCAGAGGGATGGGAGGCAGAGGGATGGGATGCAGAGGGATGGGAGGCAGAGGGATGGGAGGCAGAGGGATGGGAGGCAGAGGGATGGGAGGCAGAGGGATGGGAGGCAGAGGGATGGGAGGCAGAGGGATGGGAGGCAGAGGGATGGGAGGCGAGCGATGGGAGGGATGATAGGCAGAGGTGGGAGGCAGAGGATAGGCAGAGGGATGGGAGGCAGAGGGATGGGAGGCAGAGGGATGGGAGGCAGAGGGATGAGGCAGAGGGATGGGAGCAGGGGATGATAGGCAGAGGGATGGGAGGCAGAGGGTGATAGCAGAGGGATGTGAGGGAGGGGATGGGAGGCAGAGGATGGAGGAGAGGATGGGATGCAGAGGGATGGGAGGCAGAGGGATGGGAGGAAGGGATGATAGACAGAGGGATGGGAGGCAGAGGGATGGGAGGCAGAGGGATGGAGGGAGAGGGATGGGAGCAGAGGGATGGGAGGCAGAGGGATGGGAGGGAGAGGGATGATAGACAGAGGGATGGGAGGCAGAGGGATGGGAGGCAGAGGGATGGGAGGCAGAGGGATGGGAGGCAGAGGGATGGGAGAGGAGGGATGGAGGCAGAGGGATGGGAGGCAGAGGGATGATAGACAGAGGGATGGAGGAGAGGGATGGCAGAGGGATGGGAGGCAGAGGGATGGGAGGCAGAGGGATGTGAGCGGAGGGATGGGAGGCAGAGGGATGGGAGGGAGAGGGATGGGAGGCAGAGGGATGTGAGGCAGAGGGATGGGAGGCGGAGGGATGGGAGGCAGAGGGATGGGAGGGAGAGGGATGGGAGGCAGAGGGATGTGAGGCGGAGGATGGGAGGCAGAGGGATGGGAGGCAGAAGATGGGAGGGAGAGGGATGGGAGGCGGAGGGATGGGAGGCGGAGGATGGGAGGCGGAGGGTGGGAGGCGGAGGGATGGGAGGCGGAGGGATGTGAGCGGAGGAATGGGAGGCGGAGGGATGGGAGGCGGAGGGATGGGAGGCGGAGGGATGGGAGCAGAGGGATGGGAGGCAGAGGGATGGGAGGCAGAGGGATGGGAGGCAGAGGGATGGGAGGCAGAGGGATGGGAGGCAGAGGGATGGGAGGCAGAGGGATGGGAGGCAGAGGGAGGGAGGCAGAGGGATGGGAGGCAGAGGAGGGAGGCAGAGGGATGGGAGGCAGAGGGATGGGAGGCAGAGGGATGGGAGGCAGAGGGATGGGAGGCAGGGATGGGAGGCAGAGGGATGGGAGGCAGAGGGATGGGAGGGAGAGGGATGGGAGGCGGAGAGGGAGGCGAGGGATGTGAGGCGGAGGGATGGAGGCGGAGGGATGGGAGGGAGAGGGATGGGAGGCGGAGGGATGTGAGGCGGAGGGATGGGAGGCAGAGGGATGGGAGGCAGAGATGGGAGGAGAGGGATGGAGGCGGAGGGATGGAGGCGGAGGGATGGGAGGCGGAGGGATGGGAGGCGGAGGGATGGGAGGCGGAGGGATGGGAGGCGGAGGGATGTGAGGCGGAGGGATGTGAGGCGGAGGGATGGGAGGCTGAGGGATGGGAGGCGGAGGGATGGGAGGCGGAGGGATGGGAGGCGGAGGGATGGGAGGCGGAGGGATGGGAGCGGAGGGATGGGAGGCGGAGGGATGGGAGGCGGAGGGATGGGAGGCGGAGGGATGTGAGGCGGAGGGATGATAGGCGGAGGGATGGGAGGCAGGGGGATGGGAGGCAGAGGGATGGGAGCAGAGGGATGGGAGGCAGAGGGATGGGAGGCAGAGGGATGGGAGGCAGAGGGATGGGAGGCGGAGGGATGGGAGGCAGAGGGATGGGAGGCAGAGGGATGGGAGGCAGAGGAGGGAGGCAGAGGGATGGGAGGCAGAGGGATGGAGGCAGAGGGATGGGAGGGAGAGGGATGGGAGGCAGAGGATGGGAGGCAGAGGGATGGGAGGCAGAGGGATGGGAGGCAGAGGGATGGGAGGCAGAGGGATGGGAGGCAGAGGGATGGGAGGCAGAGGGATGGGAGGCAGAGGGATGGGAGGCAGAGGGATGGGAGGCAGAGGATGGGAGGCAGAGGGATGGGAGGCAGAGGGATGGGAGGCAGAGGGATGGAGGCAGAGGGATGGGAGGCAGAGGGATGGGAGGCAGAGGGATGGAGGCAGAGGGATGGGAGGCAGAGGGATGGGAGGCAGAGGGATGGGAGCAGAGGGATGGGAGGCAGAGGGATGGAGGCAGAGGGATGGGAGGCAGAGGATGGGAGGCAGAGGGATGGGAGCAGAGGAGGCAGAGGGATGGGAGGCAGAGGGATGGGAGGCAGAGGGATGGGAGGCAGAGGGATGGGAGGCAGAGGGATCGGAGGCAGAGGGATGGGAGGCAGAGGGATGGGGAGGCAGAGGGATGGGAGGCAGAGGGATGGGAGGCAGAGGGATGGGAGGCAGAGGATGGGATCAGAGGGATGGGAGGCAGAGGGATGGGAGGCAGAGGGATGGGAGGCAGAGGGATGGGAGGCAGAGGGATGGGAGGGAGAGGGATGGGAGGCGAGGGATGGGGAGGCGGAGGATGGGAGGCGGAGGGATGGGAGGCGGAGGGATGGGAGGCGGAGGGATGGGAGGCGGAGGGATGGGAGGCGGAGGGATGGGAGGCGGAGGGATGGGAGGCAGAGGGATGGGAGGCAGAGGGATGGGAGGCAGAGGGATGGGAGGCAGAGGGATGGGAGGCAGAGGGATGGGAGGCAGAGGGATGGGAGGCAGAGGGATGGGAGGCAGAGGGATGTGAGGGAGAGGGATGTGAGGCGGAGGGATGATAGGCAGAGGGATGGGAGGCAGAGGGATGGGAGGCAGAGGGATGGGAGGCAGAGGGATGGGAGGCAGAGGGATGGGAGGGAGAGGGATGGGAGGCGGGGGATGGGAGGCGGAGGGATGTGAGGCGGAGGGATGTGAGGCAGAGGGATGGAGGGAGAGGGATGGGAGGCGGAGGGATGTGAGGCGAGGAGGGAGGCAGAGGGATGGGAGGCAGAGAGATGGGAGGGAGAGGGATGGGAGGGAGGGATGGGAGGCGGAGGGATGGGAGGCGGAGGGATGGGAGGCGAGGGTGGGAGGCGGAGGATGGGAGGCGAGGGATGTGAGGCGGAGGGATGTGAGGCGGAGGGATGTGAGGCGGAGGGATGTGAGGCGGAGGATGTGAGGCGGAGGGATGTGAGGCGGAGGGATGGGAGGCGGAGGGATGGGAGGCGGAGGGATGGGAGGCGGAGGGATGGGAGGCGGAGGGATGGGAGGCGGAGGGATGTGAGGGAGAGGGATGTGAGGCGGAGGGATGATAGGCGAGGGATGATAGGCGGAGGGATGGGAGGCAGAGGGATGGGAGGCAGAGGGATGGGAGGCAGAGGGATGGGAGGGAGAGGGATGGGAGGCAGAGGGATGGGAGGCAGAGGGATGGGAGGCAGAGGGATGGGAGGCAGAGGGATGGGAGGCAGAGGGGTGGGAGGCAGAGGGGTGGGGGGCAGAGGGGTGGGAGCAGAGGGGGTGGGAGGCAGAGGGATGGGAGGCAGAGGATGGGAGGCAGAGGGATGGGAGGCAGAGGGATGGAGCAGAGGGATGGGAGGCAGAGGGATGGAGGGCAGAGGGATGGGAGGCAGAGGGATGGGGCAGAGGGATGGGAGGCAGAGGGATGGGAGGCAGAGGGATGGGAGGCAGAGGGATGGGAGGCAGAGGATGGGAGGCAGAGGGATGGGAGGCAGAGGGATGGGACAGAGGGATGGGAGGCAGAGGGATGGGAGGCAGAGGGATGGAGGCAGAGGGATGGGAGGCAGAGGGATGGAGGCAGAGGGATGGGAGGCAGAGGGATGGGAGGCAGAGGGATGGGAGGCAGAGGGATGGGAGGCAGAGGGATGGGAGGCAGAGGGATGGGAGGCAGAGGGATGGGAGGCAGAGGGATGGGAGGCAGAGGGATGGGAGCAGAGGGATGGGAGGCAGAGGGATGGGAGGCAGAGGGATGGGAGCAGAGGGATGGGAGGCAGAGGGATGGGAGGCAGAGGGATGGGAGGCAGAGGGATGGGAGGCAGAGGGATGGGAGGCAGAGGGATGGGAGGCAGAGGGATGGGAGGCAGAGGGATGGGAGGCAGAGGGATGGAGGCAGAGGGATGGGAGGCAGAGGGATGGGAGGCAGAGGATGGGAGGCAGAGGGATGGGAGGCAGAGGGATGGGAGGCAGAGGGATGGGAGGCAGAGGGATGGGAGGCAGAGGGATGGGAGGCAGAGGGATGGGAGGCAGAGGGATGGGAGGCAGAGGGATGGGAGGCAGAGGGATGGGAGGCAGAGGATGGGAGGCAAGGGATGGGAGGCAGAGGGATGGGAGGCAGAGGGATGGGAGGCAGAGGGATGGGAGGCAGAGGATGGGAGGCAGAGGGGATGGTAGCAGAGGGATGGGAGGCAGAGGGATGGGAGCAGAGGGATGGGAGGCAGAGGGATGGGAGGCAGAGGGATGGGAGGCAGAGGGATGGGAGGCAGAGGGATGGGAGGCAGAGGGATGGGAGGCAGAGGGATGGGAGGCAGAGGGATGGGGAGGCAGAGGGATGGGAGGCAGAGGTGGAGGGGAGGCAGAGGGATGGGAGGCAGAGGGATGGGAGGCAGAGGGATGGGAGGCAGAGGGATGGGAGGCAGAGGGATGGGAGGCAGAGGGATGGGAGGCAGAGGGATGGGAGGCAGAGGGATGGAGGCAGAGGGATGGGAGGCAGAGGGATGGGAGGCAGAGGGATGGGAGGCAGAGGGATGGGAGGCAGAGGGATGGGAGGCAGAGGGATGGGAGGCGAGGGATGGGAGGCAGAGGGATGGAGGCAGAGGGATGGGAGGCAGAGGGATGGGAGGCAGAGGGATGGGAGCAGAGGGATGGGAGGCAGAGGGATGGGAGGCAGAGGATGGGAGGCAGAGGGATGGGAGGCAGAGGGATGGGAGGCAGAGGGATGGGAGGCAGAGGGATGGGAGGCAGAGGGATGGGAGGCAGAGGGATGGAGGCAGAGGATGGAGGCAGAGGGATGGGAGGCAGAGGGATGGGAGGCAGAGGGATGGGAGGCAGAGGGATGGGAGGCAGAGGGATGGGAGGCAGAGGGATGGGAGCAGAGGGATGGGGCAGAGGGATGGAGGCAGAGGGATGGGAGGCAGAGGGATGGGAGGCAGAGGGATGGGAGGCAGAGGGATGGGAGCAGAGGGATGGAGCAGAGGGAGGGAGGCAGAGGGTGGGAGGCAGAGGGATGGAGGCAGAGGGATGGAGGCAGAGGGATGGGAGGCAGAGGGAGGGAGGGCAGAGGGATGGGAGGCAGAGGGATGGGAGGCAGAGGGATGGGAGGCAGAGGGATGGGAGGCAGAGGGATGGGGCCGAGGGATGGGAGGCAGAGGGATGGGAGGCAGGGTGGGAGGCAGAGGGATGAGGAGCAGAGGGAGGGAGGCAGAGGGATGGGAGGAAGGGATGGAGGCAGAGGGATGGGAGGCAGAGGATGGGAGGCAGAGGGGATGGGAGGCAGAGGGATGGGAGGCAGAGGGATGGGAGGCAGAGGGATGGAGGCAGAGGGATGGGAGGCAGAGGGATGGGAGGCAGAGGGATGGGAGCAGAGGGATGGAGGCAGAGGGATGGGAGCAGAGGGATGGGAGGCAGAGGGATGGGAGGCAGAGGGATGGGAGGCAGAGGGATGGGAGGCAGAGGGATGATAGGGCGGAGGGATGGGAGGGAGAGGGATGAGAGGTAAGGGGGTGGGAGGTAAGGAGATGATTGCGCAGCAAAGTGATGCGCAGCCTTCTCGTAGTTAAGATAAGTTTATCCATAAATTATTTATTTTGTTTATTAAAAAATGTATTGTTAACATTTTTCAATTATTTAATAGCTTTTGTATTTATCCGCAAAATTTGATATGCACGAGAATCTCCGGAACGTATCCCTCGCGAGTAACAAAGGGATACTGTGTTTATGTATCCACTATATACACAAATGCATACACAATATCCATACCTGTCAACTCATACGGTCTACCCGTATTCTTGTACAGGGAAAATTTTATTTTCAGGTCCATACACCATACAGCCGTTTCAATACGGGCAAAAACATTTATTTGTTTGTGTTTCTCCCTTGTGATGGGACTTTGTAGAATAAACGTCGAGATTCACAAGGGGCGTGGGTGTGACCAGTAAGGTCTGAATTGGTCTGTAATAAGGCAGTGGGCACTGATAACGGGTTTGACGGGTATCAATAGATAAACGTACCTGCGGAGCGTGTCATGTTAGAACACGCGTGTTCTCGGTCAGCATGTTGAACAGCAGTGCGGTGGGGCTTGTGTGATGGGAGTTCGATCGCTCGCTACGGCCAATGTCGGTCACAGGTGAAATCTGAACTCCTCCTGGGGTCACATGCTCCCTCAATCTTTACCAAGCCACGCTTGACCAGCAGGGTGAAGTATGGTCCAAACGGGCCCCCCCCCCCCCGCGACTGGCGTGGCCTTTGATCCGAGGATGGATTTGACGGACCCGTAGCAAGAAAGTATTTTTTTTATTTTTTATGCGATGTGGCAAACCACCCTTGAACCCAAAACGCCGATGGGTGCAGGGCTTGTGAACCGTCATTCTAGAAATAATGAGAGCTTGCAGGGTGTGCCACTCGCTAGGTCATATAGTACATTATAATATGGCAATTACATAATCCGATTCGCACACCTCGAGAAATTGTCACAAATTGGACTCCCAATTCGATTCCACAAAACTGATTCCTCCCTCCCTTGCACCCTCACCTTCCCTACTGCCGTTCCTCCACCCTCTTCTACCCCTCTGCCCTCCTACCTCGCGTATCACCCTCTCTCTCTCACTTTCCTCCTCGCTCTGTCGCTCCCTCCTCCCGCGCAGCCACCAAGACTCTGAACCGCGGCACGTCCGAGTTCATCGTGATGGCGGCCGACGCGGAGCCACTGGAGATCATCCTGCACCTGCCGCTGCTGTGCGAGGACAAGAACGTGCCGTACGTGTTCGTGCGCTCCAAGCAGGCGCTGGGACGCGCCTGCGGCGTCTCGCGGCCCGTCGTCGCCTGCTCCGTCACCATCAAGGAGGGGTCGCAGCTCAAGCCGCAGATCCAGGCGGCGCAGCAGAGCATCGAGAGGCTGCTCGTGTGAGGCGGTCGCCGCGGCAGGAGAGGGCCCCCCCCCAGAGGTCGCAACCGGGTACCTGATACCCGTACCCTACCCGATAGCCGCTACCTGTACCCCGGGTACGGGTACCCGTTTGCGACCCTGGTGCGGCCGGGTATGGGTACGGGTAGGCCGTGAGTCACTGATGAGTAACTGTTTGTCACTCATTTCCCAACGTCTTGTCTCTTCTCACAATTCAAGTTCCTAGAATCAACCCACCCGCGCCTGCAACATGGCTTCATCCCAGAGGTCGCAATCAGGTACCCGATACCCGTACCCTACCCGTACCCGGCTGGGTACCCTCTGGGTACGGGTACCCGTTTGCGACCCTGGTGCGGCCGGGTACGGGTAAGGAATCAAAACCCGTTTGCGATCTCTGGCCCCCCCCCCCCTCCCCGCAGCGGTAGATAGCTCAAGCCTATCGCCGTGGGGAAAATTTATAGCAGCAGCTGAAAAGTCTAAATGCGTGATGTTAATTTTCTGAATGTGGAGGGAGGAAAACCGGGGGACCCGGAGAAAAATTCCACGCGGCCACGGGGAGAGAGAACATGCAAACTCCAAATACAGATGTCAGTGTTAAAATCGAACCGACTCCGTCCTGTATACAAGGCGAGGTAGTTAACATCTCTTAGCCACCGTGGCGCCCCTAACGGCTGGGGTCAGTGGTGCCCAGGTGGTGGGGGGGTAATTGGACAGGCCCCACCACCCAATAAAAATTTCACTATTTAAAGAAACCTCGTGATTTTGTCAAATTGCTGAAAGTTGCTGCATGCGTCACCTGTGTGGGTTCCACGCTCTTGTGTTGCTGGCCCCGTTTGTTTTTTTTGGCAGAGGTCTGCGACCGGTTCACGCTGGGACGGCGCAAAGCCAATCGGCCGTCGCTTGTTATATTTCCGTTGATGTAATGTCTCTCGTTCGTTCTGTGGGAGACTTTTGCGACGGTGGAGTGTGACGCACTGGGCCGCCTTAATTTGGCTTCGCCTTGGAAGCCAGCAGGTGAATGGGTGTGTGTAACAAGAGTAGAGGGTTATATTGCTTTTCCTTCAAATTTCTACTTATTGGTTTTGATCAATGATTTCATCGTAAGCCTTTGTAACGATGCGTTTTATTCATTGTAAGCTTTTGTAATAAAACTACTGGAAATACGCGCGGAGAAGAAAGACGCTGTCATTTTATTTTCATTTTGGTTCCCGAGTGACACTGTTTGCACAATGGACCTGCTCCCCCACACCTCGCCGCTTTGATTTTATCTCCTTAAGCCGCAGTTGAAAGGTAAGGGAGATAGTTTCCTAAACCTCCCCTGCATCTCCATCCAGCAGTAAGCAGGGAAACTTCTTCACAATTCTAGCAAATTGCCTGATGAAGCTGGTTGTTAATCCTCAGCAAAACGTCACAGTACAGGTAGTCCCCGAGTTACGATCTTACGATGGCGATAGCGACCAAAATTGCCATCAACCTAACATCGTTCAAGTATGCAGACGACTGACAGAATCTTGGTGAGTAGAGTACAATGATACGATACGTTCAAGGTATGTGAAAGTTTTTATAGCAGATAGGATTGTTTCCTGAAAACTTTCTATTAAATTGCAGTTCATATAGGTAGGCTAAGAATTTACCTTGTTTTTTTACTTTAATTTTTACTGTGCCAATACAGTATTGTACTTAATAAATACAGTATATAGTTTATACAGTACGGTACTGTAAATTGCTGTTTGCTAAATTATCATCGTTCTTTGACTCCTGGGTATGCTAGCCATCTTCGACTACGATGGGGTCGTAATGCATCTCCCATATAAGTAGAGGACTGCCTGTACTTGGATTGTAACAGTGAATTTACTCTTAACACGGTTAGTGCCGTAGTAACCAATTGGCACGTTTTTGTTCAAGTGTCGAAACATTCTAATTGGCTGAGGTGGGTTAGACCCATATATCTAACCTGAAAAAAATCCCTTTTATGAATATTGGTCGTGAAAGCCTACGTATTAAACATGATTGGTGCACCAGGGTTTAAGGCACGTGCAAATCCAGCACTGGAGGCAGCAAGTAGCAAGGGTTGGTGGATTGAGCCCATCAAGGAGATGCCATACCCTGATTACCACCATCTGGCAGTTCAGCCAAACTTCCCACTGGTTTCAGTGCTCCAGCTTCCTAGAGAGAGCAGAAGCAACAAAAGCAATCCTGGACTCGGAAATTATTCGGTCGTACAGTGGTACCTTGGTATACGACCGCTTTGGCATACGTCGAATTTGGTACACGTCGTGTTTTGACGAGACAAACATGTCTTGGGATACGATGTCTTGCTTGGATACGAGGCGCTTGCTAGACTTGTATGGGCCGGGCATGAGTCACCGCGTACCCGCGGAAACCCTGTTCACGACCGAAACAAAGCGCTGCTCCTCAGTCTGCCTGTAGATCTCGTTCATCTTAGCAGAAGGCAAAAACAAACTTCAACGGAGAGGTTTTTAGTAAAACTCAAACCTGGTGAGCCTCAACCAGGTCCAACTCAAAAGAAAGACAGAAAAGAGAAAAGACCCCAGAATTTCAGCTTCCTGAAGTTTTAATGGAAGGGGACTCCTTCCAAAAAATAACATCTCCTCCCTCTCCTCTCCACCATCCTCCAGCAAGGAAAAGTGATATTTAAAAAAAAGGCAATCTTAAAAAAATATTTATGCATTTATTTTTTAATTTATGTATGCATTTTAGTAATAAGTAGTGTCTAAATTATTTTATACAACCCATTAATGTATAATATGCCATATAAAATATAATTTATTATACTCTGGAACAGATTATTTCCTTTCGCTTTATTTCTTATGGGGAAATTCGTTGGTGTATGTCATTTTCGGTTAGAAGTCCTACCTTCTGGAACGAATTTAACGACGTATTACCGAGGTACCACGTACTTCTTCGGCCGCGGTGCCCGACGAACAAACTCGCAAACACAACTTTGTCAGCCGGTGCTCTCTGAAGACGGCCCGTTGGCCAAACGTTGCCCGTCGCACAAGAATGTTTTTTTGTTTTAAAGGCCAAACATTATTACACTGGTCAACAAAAATAAAAAACTTTTTTTTTTCTGGCCTGGACTTTAGCAGCTGTTCGAGACTAATTTCAGGGTGCTGATTCCAAATCTGATCTCAGATTTGCTCTATCACATTTTATGCTATCGGCATACCCCATGTTCATTGATTTTACCCAAAATTAACTCTGTCACTTATGATTGCAAGTTGTTGCCAGTCAGTGACTGCTTTAGTGTTAAAATATGGTGCTGTATTTTTAGGATAGTGTGTTTATAATATAATTTCATGTAGATATCCACATTTATTTAATATTTTTCTTCTGCAGTTTTTATTGAAAATGCAATATTTGATATCTCAAAAACCTGATGTGATAGACTAAACTGATGCCAGATTTGGAATCAGCACCCCAAAATTACCTTACAACCGTTGGAATACCTTGTGCCAGAAAAAGTGTGTTGACCAGTGTTATTGGCGGTCATGCCGAGTTCTCGGATCAAAAAAATTTACCCGTAAAACAAAGTTTTTCACTATAAATCCTTTATATGCGTGGCATCGGGGCGGCTAGATTCCTCTTGTCCTCTGGCTTGAGATGGCTGCCACCATTAAGCAATTGGTAATTAAATATTTTTAAAAATTTCCCTAAACAGTGTAAAATTGTTGGAAAAAAATTTCACGAAAATTAATTGTCACGCACAACGAGTCTGTGTGCAAAATGTCAGCTCGATTGGATCACGGGAAGTGGGTTAAAAAACGACCGAAAGATTTGCACGGTCGTAAGCAAGCAAGCACGCAAGCAAGTGAACTTAATATAAAGAATTTTTAAAAGGGGGTGGTGGGGGGGGGGGGCGACACTGACATTCGCGAATAAACGGAGAACATTTTTAAACGGCCCGGCATTGTACACAGAAACTTTTAATCGGTTTTTTTTTTTTGGACACACGAAATAGCAAAAAAATTACACATTGGTCTACGGGCAAACGACAAACATGGACATTCCCCCACGGACCGTGGTTATATACGTGTCGCAGGCGACGCACAACCTGATCGCGCGCGGGGTGCACAAAACTTGTCAGCTTTTGTTCCGTTTAACATGTTGTAGGCTTTCGCGACCAAAATCATCCATAATGTAGGTTTTTTGGGGGTAGATTGTGTAAATATAAATGTGGTTAAACCCACCACCACCCGACACAGCCAAATTAGTGAGGTTTGTCACGTAAACAGAACGTGCCAATTCGCTACTAATACAGCACTAGTGTATAGTGTAGTGTGTGGTGTATAGTGTAGTACACTAGTACAGCACAATCCTCCTGTTTCGTTCCTTAAATAGAGGGGTAGATGTGATGACGTCACTTGTGAAACCTTTCACGTGCAAAGGGGGGGGGGGGGGAGGGATTAATTCATGCGTATAAATTACAATGGGTATCCATTGCCGGTTGGAACGAAACAGAAGGATGTCTCCACAAATCTGGCTGTCGCCTGATGATGCTGGTTGTAATTACTGTCGAAACGTCGTACTCATTGTAAATGTTGTGGATTTGCTCTCCAACACACAACCGGTGTGCTGTACTAGTAACGAATTGGCCACGTTCTGTTTACATGACAAGCCTTAATAACTATCTGTGTCGGTTGGTGGCGGGTTTAACGACATTTATATTTACGCGACGTAACCAAAAAAACGAATATTATGGAGATTTTGTTCCGTTTTACTCGTTTTCGACCCCGGGTTTTTTTAATTGTACGTCATCGCAAAGCCCTCAAAACGACGGCCGCTGCCAGACGGCACGCTTAGTATTAAAAATATTAACCCCTTTCCCGTTCCGAGACTGCCTGGAGGTCTGCAGGGTGGGTGGGTGTCCCGTTCACTGACGAATCTCGGAACGTGCGAGCGATTCGGCGTTAATTTTATTTGGAAAAGCGCAGCAGCAGCAGCAGCGCCGCTAAAGACGTTGTTACTCGCCGCAGAGAATCGGCAGCGACACGACCGCCGCCACTCTACGCTAGCTGGCGCCAGACTGCGCCCGCACGCCCCTCCCGTGTGGCCTTGTGGGAGCCTCGGTATCGATAGAGTTACTGACTTTTCTTTCCGATTATGTTTCGATGACGTACGCTTGACATAACTGCAATGGGAAAGGGCAAAAAAAAAATGTTGACATTGGAGGCCGAGATGGCTAGAAATGAGATGCGGCATTAACACTGTGCCCGAAATACTGGGTTACGTTCACATATCCGATGTTCACATATCCGCCTAGAGCACCGGGATAGGTGCTTGCGATTGGCCGAGTGATAACGACCGAAGAACATTTCTTTGGTTCTTTCGGTTAAGTCACGTCTAAAGATAAAATAATAAATTAAATAATAGCATATTACGACGTTTCGATTGCAACACAAGCAATCATCATCAGGCATAAAAGAAATGGCAACAAAAATCTAACTAGAAAACTATAGACAGACATACATCACAAAGACACACAGAGAGAGAACACATATCTAACCAAAGAATAATTCCTGCAGTCACGAAAGCTCCAAAATTAAGATCAGCCGATATGTGTTCTCTCTCTGTGTGCCGTTGTGATGTCTGTCTGCTTGTACGTCTGTCTATAGTTTTCTAGTTAGATTTTTGTTGCTATTTCTTTTATGCCTGATGATAATTGCTTGTGTTGCAATCGAAACGTCGTAATATGCTATTATTTAATTTATTATTTTATCTTTAGACGTGACTTAACCGAAAGAACCAAAGAATAATTCCTGCAGTCACGAAAGCTCCAAAATTAAGATTGACCGAAGAACACTTTGCCATTGCATACGACGGTTTGATTTTCTGAGCAGCTGAACCCGAAACCACGACGCCATCGCCACCGTGCGACGTCGCCACTTGTGCGTGCGTAGAACTTCTTTCGCACCGTACGTAGTCAACCCGCGCGTCTGCTCTGCTCTCGGGGTCGTCGTCGACGCAACTTCACGACGGCAACTCCAAGTGAACTCTCAACATCAAATGCACGGATACGCGACTGGCCACGCTCGCCCTCACATCCGTTCTCGGGCAGGAGGCAGCGTGCGATGCGCTAAGACGCGTGGAGCGATCGCACGGCGGAAACGTGCAATGGTCTCTGAAAACCGTTTTAAGACCTGGCATTGGCGGAGGCCAAAATGACCCCAAGATGCACCGCACGTAGCCAACCGTGATAATCGGAGGGTGGGCGAGTGTGTGGCTGAGTGACTGTGAGTCTGTGTGTGTGTAGGTTCAACTTCTTTCGCACCGTACGTAGCCAACCGTGCTAATTGTAGTATTAAAGCCGTGAAGCGGTGTTGGAAATTCCACATTCCTATGGCGGGAGAACGAGTATTAAAAAAAATCGACAAGACAGTCGACCTTACCCCACAGCAGTGTTCCTTATTCTAGCAAACCAGGCGGGACGATGGGCTGCGCGTGTTACGACAAGCGGTGAAATAGTCGTGATCACGATTTATTAAACCCCTTGGCCATTCCGGGACAGTCTGCAAGTCGCACGGCGTCCCCGTTCACCGCCGAATCTCGGGAACTCGCGAGCGACTCGCCGTGACTTTTACTTAGAGAGGCACAGCAGCAGCAGCGCCGTTGTTATTTTAAAAGACGTTGTCGCAGAGGACCGATTAGACACGACTGCCGCACTCTCTACGACAGCTTGGCGCCAACGCTGTGCCCACACGCCCCTCTCTCCGCGTGGCCTTGTGGGAGCCTCGGTACCGACCAAGTTATTTTATTTTGTCATCCGTTTCCGTTCCGATGACGTGCACGCACGCACGCGTACGTCAGCAAAACGGCATTTGGAAGAAAACGTGACGATGTCCACGTACGTCAGCGGAACAGGAAAAAGGGTTAAAATGGGCGAGGTTGCACGCACGGTCAAACACGTGATTTACCTCCTGGACAACGATCCTCCCTTAGCACCAACGCACTCCGCTCTAAGACGCCACAAACACGACCCCAGCGCGACCGCTTCCCCTCCATCGATCCTCCACCTTTTTAAAACTCACCGCCCCCCCTCAATTCCACCTCCCATTTGCCCCCCCACCACCGCGCCCCCCCACCACCGCTCCCCCCCCCCACCGCCCCCCAACCAACCCCGCTTACACGCACGGCGCACAGCACGATCACGAGCACAACAAAGACGAACCGCCCTGCTACGCCGCTGGCCGCCCATTCGCCCCGCAACTCCGAACCCACCAACCCCGTCACGTCGGCTCTCCGAAGCCGAGGCCCGGTCCTTCCCCGAGCCTGCGCGACGCCCCAGAAGGGCGCCCTCGCAGAGGATCCCGCTGTCCATTGCCGTCGGCGTACTGCAACTTCTACGCTCCCCGCGTCTACCGCCCCCCCACCACCGCCGCCACTTCACCGACACCACGCGCTGACGCGGCGCCGACTGGCACGCGCGCGAGTGGCGTTGCGAGCCGCCCGTCCGGCGGTGGAGCGTCCCGAGGGCTGCACGTGTGCTCGACCTGCACACGGGTGTAAGACGGAAGCCGCAGTGCGCTGAAGTCTCCAAAATGGTTTGTGGACTGGAGGGGGGGTGTTGATGTCCAAAAACGAAACGACTCGTTGCGTGTGGACCACGGGGAGAGAGAAATATGCAAACTTCACACATACAGGCGTCGGGGTCGGGGATCGAACCCACGCCCGCTCCTGCACGTTGAACTGCTTTCGCACCGCACGTAGCCAAACCGTGCCAATGGGTGGGTGCGGGATGCTTACGCGCGTTCTGCAACAAAAGCTCAAGGGCCCCCATTGTTGCTCACGTCACGGACAAAATGTTTCCCCAGCCGCTGGCGCAGCGACTGGACCGCTCTCACCCCGTCGATGGGCATCTGTGATAGGTAATAAAAAAAAATTGAAGCTTTGTAGCTCATCGGATTCCTCCGGTCTAAACAAAGATTCCGATTCTGGAAACATGCCCGCCTCCATCCCCTCCGCTGAACTCGGCGAGACCCATCTTCCACTGACAAACAATCATCGCCATCATCATCATCAATATCATCAGCCATGATCAATCCACTGCTGGACGATGACCGTCCCCGCACGGTCCTGCGATGTACCAACTTGCCCATTGCCCTGCGCATGATTGATAGTAGAAGTCTCCAGTGTAGCCCAAATAAAATCATTTTAATTAATACCAATACGATAGGGGTGTAGTGATGCTTTGGTCCATTGCACTGCTCGCCACAAATGAACCACAATACCTTTCAAACTCCGGTCATCATCGCAGCGGCAGCGGCTTTTGGCTAAGCCATCGAGCAAAGACGGTGGTGGTCACCACATCGCGCGGCGCTTTCAGATGCGCTTCTTTGGCCGTCTGGAAACGCTCTTCCTTCCAATATTCAGAAGCTGCTGGAGCTATGAAACTTGAAAATCGTCGAGATTGAAAAGTAATTTCTTTCGAAGTGCTTTTTTGTGTTTAGTTCGTTGTCCTTCCATTGCACCTACGGTTAGCACGATCGGCTACGTACGGTGCGAAAGAAGTTCAACGTACATACGTACGCAATCCAATCGTACGCGCCGCATAAACCGCGGAGGCCGCTGCCATTCGCCGCGGCGTCAAAAGCCATTTTTGGAATCGGTTTTCTCCCATCGGCCGCGGCGACGATTAACCGCGGCGCGACTGCCGCCGGGGACGGCCTTGCGGCACGCGGCCTACGCCAAAGTGCTCCGTGGTTGAAGGCGCCGCCAAACCGTGGCGCGCGGCCCAACTCGACGCAACGTCTCTCCGGGAAGTCGTCTCCGCCCGGGAGAATTTGCGTCTCTCCCAAATCGCGTTTCCTCGCCGTGGAGTTTGCAGCGTCGCCGCCGCTCCCCCCCCCTCCCCTACCTCTCGCACCCGCCGGATCTGCGGACGAACGTGAACGTGGACGCCGGGTGTGACGAACAGGGCGGGACGTTCAAATAATAAAAGCTCGGGTACTACAACGACGACGACGAGCCATCGAATACGGTTACAGGCCAGAAAGACTACAATGCGGTAAAAATAAAAAAATAACAAAAAATAGCACCACAACAAATCCAACACGGAAAACACGCGCACGCACGGACACGCGGACTTACAGATGTGCGGACACACGCACGCACGGACTTACGTGCGCACGCAAACGGACACACACGGACTCGCAGACACACACGGACACGTACTAGCTACCTAAGACAATAAATAAAAACTAAGGCACTAAGTCGAGGATGGCAGGGGGAGAGTAGTGGGGGGGGGCGGATGCGAAGCTTGGACCATGCTCGAGACAGTAATAACGACGTCAAACGGGGGTTGTGTGCACGACGATTCAAATAAACCCGGGGAGATCGTGACGGAGGGAGTGAGGAGCAGAGGTCGCAAACGGGTTTTGATTCCTTACCCGTACCCGGCCGCACCAGGGTCACAAAAGGGTATCCGTACCCGTCCGTACCCGTACCCTACCCTACCCGGCCGGGTAAGGGTAGGGTACGGGTATCGGGTACCCGGTTGCGATCTCTGGGATGAAGCCATGTTGCAGGCGCGGGTGGGTTGATTCTAGGAACTTGAATTGTGAGAAGAGACAAGACGTTGGGAAATAAGTGACAAACAGTTACTCACCAGTGACTCACGGTCTACCCGTACCCGGCCCGCACCAGGGTCGCGAACGGGTAGCCGGGTATCGGGTAGGGTACGGGTATCGGGTACCCGGTTGCGACCTCTGGTGAGGAGCGTGAGAGACAGAGGGAGAGAGAGCGCGAGAGTGTGGAGAGATCAAGAACCTACAGAAGCTCCAGTGATTTTATGGCCTTGCCCTCCAAATTCAAACTCCTCCTGCCTCCAGCAGAACTCACGGGTGTGGCCGGCCATTTGCAACGGGGAGCGGTAGCGCAGCCGCACTACGAACCACCTGCGGCCCGGGTTCGATTACCGCTCACGGACAACACTGGTGACGATTATCTGAACCGGTCCGGGGTCTCCCTCTAGGTCGACTCGGCCTCAAATGAGTACCTGGTGCGTTCCGTAAACATCGACCACCGGGGAGACAAAAGCGGCCGGGCTTGGCGTTGGCCACCCATCCCCTTCGTGCGCCGTGCCGGCCTTCGTAGGTGCCGCTACTCGCTAACCGCACTTGCCCCAACAGTCTGTGTACAGGATACACGGGGGGGATCTTTGTCTTTGTGCAGCCCAACGATTCTCTACCCAGTCCCTTGACAAATCACTTCGCCCAGTTGCACGACACCACGATGCCGTTACCTAGCCCACCGACTTTCTCACCAGACACCACGACATGTTTACAAGGCTCAGTGACTTCTCTACCCCAGTGACTCTCTACCCAGTGGCTAACCTCCACTGTACTTTTCCCCAATCAATGTCTACTTAGCCCAATGACCGCACAGCCAAATGACTCTCTGCACAGTCCCATGATGCGTTCCTAAAACCAACGACTCTCTTACAATCCCAAACACTCTCCACCCGGTACAATAACTGCCCACCCCAATAACTGCCTCTCCAGTCCAGCTATATGGCTCTGCGCAGACAAATGACTCTCTGATCCAATGCCGTGACGCATCCTTACCTCGATGTCCCTCTGCACAACCCCGAAAAAACTTTTCTTTGACAGGCCAATTAATTTCTGTCCACTCCCAAATCACTCTGCCCGACCCAATGACCCTCTACACCCGGTCTCGTTATGCGTCGCTTCGCCCAAACACTCTAACCCAGCGCGGCGACTCCCTCGTCCAGCCCAAGCGCACGCTGCCCGAAACCGAAGGGACAGCATGGTGTGTCCCCCGCCCCACCCCGGGAGGGCCTACGCACAACCCTCAACGGATCACCGCTCTCCGCGACAACGCGGGCAGCCGGGCAATCGCACCGCGGGCTCCAGCGCCCGCGACCGCGACGTCCCCCACCGCGGTGAAACCGGGATTCCGAAGCGGCGGGAGTAAAAACGGCGGCAGCGTCGTCGTCGTCGTTGTGTGTCGAGTTAATCCGCCCCCGTGCCTTCCGCCCGGCGTGTGGCTACGGTGGGCCGCCCTCCTCAACGGCCGTGCCATCGCACGCTTCCCAAAGTTCTCTCTCGAGCGCCGCCGCCGCCGCCGCCGAACAGTTCTGGAACCACCCCACCCCTGCGTCCTCACCGCCTCTTCCGCCTCCGCAGCGGCGGTGGCGGCGGCAGGGGCCGTCCATCGCACGCGCGGCACGAGTCCCACGCGTCTCCCGGCAAACGCTCGGGCACCATCGCCAGCGCCGGCGAGGAGATGGCAGCTCCCCTCCACCACCACCACCCGACCCCCGCCGCCCTTCACCGCCGCCCACCGGAGGACCGGACGTACTAACCAGGGCGACGCAGCCGAGCACCGTCGGCGTTGCCCGGTTACCGTTGCCGGGTTACCGTTGCCCCGGTGGAGGCGAGGAAAGGGGGAGGGGGGGTTGCCGTGGGCGACGAGGCGGCGGGAGGAAGAGGCGACGGCGGCGTCAGTTCTGCACCCGCTGCAGGTACTGAGGTAAGGGGTTGTCCTTGATGAACTTCTGGATGTACCAGCACGTGATGTGCGCCTTCAGGTCCTCCTCCACCACGAAGTCCATGGAGGCCTTGGGCCGGAGGGCGAGGCGGTGGGGGTGGCGGCACGGACGGGTGGGAGGGGTGGGGTGACAAGAGGAAAGATCCACACAGATCCCCCGTGTAACCCGATAACGGGCAAATGCTCTATAAATTTACACATTTCAACTTAAAACGAAACTTTTTTTATTTTATTTGACCAGGTGAGGCCCCGCGGAGCCACGTAGCTCTTTTGTCAGAAGCGACCTGGCCACCAATGACAGCTCAACGAAGTGGATTATCATCTTCTTAGGTTTTTTTGGTAAAGTCACGTAGGTAGAAAATGAAATTAAAAATAATAAAAGTTTCAGAGGCAACACAAGTCTCCGTCATCAGGTGGGACCGTCACAGCCAGATTTACTGTATCAAGCAAAAACGTCGTGATTTTTTATTGCTTCTTATTTTATTTCTATTATTACTTTTATTAATTTTAATTTCATTTTTTACCTACGTGACTTTACCGAAAAAACCTAAGATCATGAATCCTTGCAGTCACGAAAGCTTCAAATCTAGAATGTATTATCATCATCGCTTGGAAATTTAGAGCATGGCGATTCTAAAATGTGGAGGGAAAAAAAACGGAGGCACCAGGATAAAATCCATGTGACCACGTGGAATGAGAGCACGCAAATTGCAAATATACAGCAGCAGCAGGCGTCAAGGTCGGGATCGAACCCACGACCTCCTGTACACCAGGCGAGGTAGTTAACATCTCGCCACGGAGAGAAATGCAAACTCCAAATATACAGCAGCAGGCGTCAAGGTCGGGATCGAACCCACGACCTCCTGCATACCCGGCGAGGTAGTTAACATCTCACCACCACGGCGGATGGCTTTCATAGTCGAAACCATGACCCACGCATGGTTCACGATTAAGTTTTGGGTCAGCTTGCTGCTGGGTGAGTAAAATGTGAGAGACGTGCTGGTTTCACCGGGACAGCCGTGTGGGTTCACCGGGAGATGGAGACAGAGAGAGAGTTAAGCGCCGTGTGCCGGGGCACCTTGGCGAGCAGGCGTGCGATGCCGCGCCCGCGGTAGCCGTCCGGCACCTCGGTGTGCTGCAAGTCCACCGTCTTCTTGCCGATGTACTCGTAGAGCAGCACGGCCCGGTCACTGTAACCTGCGCGGCACAAAGGTGAAAATCCTCCCACCCCCACGCTCCCCCCGCGTAGCCTCCACAGGCTGTTGGGGTGAGTGCTGATAGCGAACAACTCCGAACGCAGTGTGGATGGGACGGAACAGGACCAATTTTTTATTTTATTTTACCAGGTAAGGCCCCACCCGAAGCGACGTGGTCACAAATGACAGCTCAACGAAGTTGATCATCATCGCGTGAAAATGCGTAGCAGGGAAATACTCTCAAAGCGCGCCGATTCTTAATGCGGACGGAAAAACCGGAGGACCCGAGAGAAAAATCCACGCGGCCACGGGGAGAGAGAGAGAGACACGAAAACTCCAAATATACGGCGTCAGGGTTGCGGTGCGAAAAAAAGTTCAACATGCACACACACAAAAAGTCGGGATCGAACCCACGACCTCCTGCATACCAGGCCAGGGAGTCAGCATCTCGCCACCGTGGCACCCCCTGGGTAAGACGGTCACTCTGGCAGACCGAGTCCTCAACAGGCGTGGCGCATTTCGATTTAAAGCTTTCGTGACTGCAGGGATTCTTCTTCTTGGTTCTTTCGGTAAAGTCACGTAGAAGGGAAATAATAAAGTAATAGAAATTTTTTTTATATATTTATTTTATTATTTTCTTTCGGTAAAGTCACGGAGAAGGGAAATAATAAAATAAGAAAAAAAAGAATTTTTATTTTATTATTTCCCTTCTACGTGACTTTACCGAAAGAACCAAGAAGAGGCAATCAAGGGGGTGGAGGAATCAAGGGGTGAATGTCAGAGCAAGCGTCCACGGCAGTAGCGACAGAAGAGCGCAGATCCCAGGCCTATCCCCTCTCGTTCTCCAGTGCCCGCCAGCTGGAGAGCACAGCAGAGGTACCAGCAGAGGTCGCAAACGGGTTTTGATTCCTTACCATACCCGGCCGCACCAGGGTCGCAAACGGCTACCCGTACCCGGCCGGGTACGGGTAGCCGTTCCCTACCCGTACCCGTACCCTACCCGAAATGAGTGACAAAACAGTTACTCACCAGTGACTCACGGCCTACCCGTACCCGTACCCGGCTGCACCAGGGTCGCAAACGGCTACCGTACCCGGCCAGGTACGGGTAGCCGGGTATCGGGTAGGGTACGGGTATCGGGTACCCGGTTGCGACCTCTGGGCACCAGGCACGGCCTTTAGCCTTTGCAATCCATCCTGAGAATCCACGTTGTGCCTCGCCACCTTCACGGCGAGGAGGGATTCAAGCCACGGCGGCCACTGAACGACCTGACGATGGGGGCGGTGGGGGGGGGAACCTACGTTTGGCTCCGTGAGCCTTTGTCTTTGCGGGCGGAAGCCCAAGGATTCGGACAAAGATGCAGTTTGGCAGCACGAACCTTAGTTGTCTGGTGATAATTGGTTTTATACCCTTCTATCTGGCATCAAAACTGACACATTTTTTACAAGGAGTCATGTTTGCATAGACCACAATACCTGCAGTCATAATGCAAAAAAAAACCATAACTCTGATAATGTGCATTGTCCTTGAAGTTGATTGGTCCACACCCGAGACAGCTTTCCTTAGAGCCTAGTCTCACATGGGTTGGACCAGATGACGCCAAAAGGCGCACAACTCAAAGACAATGTATCATCACAGTATGAAAGCTCGGGGAAAGCATTTACACCATTGGAACCTCCTTTGCCAGTACCAAAATAGGGTAATTGTTTTTTTACCCTTTTATCTGGCAACAAAACTGACACATTTTTTGTAAAAAAAGGTGTCAGTTTTGATGCCAGATAGAAGGGTAAAAAACCAATTATCATATTTTTACTGGCAAATGAGGTTCCAATGGTACCTTGTCTGGTATACAGGAGGTCGCGGGTTCGATCCCAAGCCCGACGCCTGCTGCTGTATATTTGTAGTTTGCGTGTTCTCCTCGTGTTCGCGTGCATCGTTCAAGTATGCAGACGACGAACAGAATCTTGGCGAGTACAGTACAATGTGATACGTTACGATACGTTCAATGCATGTTTACGATACGTAGCTTTAGCGATTTCATTTTAAGGTTACCACGATACGATACGTTCAATGCAAGTTAAAAGTTTTCATGGCAGATAGGATTGTTTCCTGAAAAAACTTTCTATTAAATTGCAGTTCATATAGGTAGCCTAAGAATTTACCTTGTTTTTTTAACTTTACATTTTACTGTGCAATACAGTATTGTACTTAATAAATACAGTATATAAAGTTTATACAGTACGGTACTGTAAATTGCTCTGTTTTGCTAAATTATCACCGTTCTTTAAGACTCCTGGGTAGGCTAGGCCATCTTCGACTGACGATATTTTCGACTTACGATATTTTCGACTTACGATGGGGTCGTCGTAACGCATCTCCATGCTAAGTAGAGGACTGCCTGTATTACGGTGTACTGCAGTTCTGTGTGTGGTTTGTCCAAGTTGTGTTGCCGCACCCCAGCAGAAGCCGTTGTTCGACTGCTGTGGGTAGGTACAATCAACGTCAAACACATAGTGGTGTGTACGTATGATGAACTTCTTTGCACCGTACGTAGCTAAGCGTGCTAATCAAAGTATATAGTAGTGTAGTGCATAGTAGTGTATAGTAGTGTAGTGCATAGTAGCGTATAGTAGTGTAGTGCATAGTAGTGTATAGTAGTGTAGTATATAGTAGTGTATCGTAGTGTAGTGCATAGTAGTGTATAGTAGTGTAGTGCATAGTAGTGTATAGTAGTGTAGTGCATAGTAGTGTATAGTAGTGTAGTATATAGTAGTGTATCGTAGTGTAGTGCATAGTAGTGTATAGTAGTGTAGTGCATAGTAGCGTTATAGTAGTGTAGTGCATAGTAGTGTATAGTAGTGTAGTATATAGTAGTGTATCGTAGTGTAGTGCATAGTGTATAGTGTAGTGCATAGTAGTGTATAGTAGTGTAGTGCATAGTAGTGTAGTGCATAGTAGGTAGTAGTGCTAGTAGCTAGTAGTGCATAGTAGCGTATAGTAGTGTAGTGCATAGTAGTGTATAGTAGTGTAGTGCATAGTAGGTATAGTAGTGTAGTGCAAGTAGTGCTATAGTAGTGTAGTGCATAGTAGTGTATAGTAGTGTAGTGCATAGTAGTGTATAGTAGTGTAGTTATAGTAGTGTATAGTAGTGTAGTGCATAGTAGTGTATAGTAGTGTAGTGCATAGTAGTGTATAGTAGTGTAGTGCATAGTAGTGTATAGTAGTGTGTATATTAGTAGTGTATAGTAGTGTAGTGCATCGTAGTGTATAGTAGTGTAGTGCATAGTAGTGTAAGTATGTAGTGCATAGTAGTGTATAGTAGTGTAGTATATAGTAGTGTATCGTAGTTTAGTGCATAGTAGTGTATAGTAGTGTAGTGCATAGTAGCGTATAGTAGTGTAGGCATAGTAGTGTATAGTAGTGTAGTATATAGTAGTGTATAGTAGTGTAGTGCATAGTAGTGTATAGTAGTGAGTGAATAGTAGTGTAGTGCATAGTAGTAGTAGTAGCATAGTGTATAGTAGTGTATAGTTAGTGTATAGTAGTGTAGGCATAGTAGTGTATAGTAGTATAGTATATAGTAGTGTATAGTAGTGTATAGTATATAGTAGTGTATAGTAGTGTATAGTAGTGTAGTATATAGTAGTGTATAGTAGTGTAGTGCATAGTAGTGTATAGTAGTGTAGGCATAGTAGTGTATAGTAGTGTAGTGCATAGTAGTGTATAGTAGTGTAGTGCATAGTAGTGTATAGTAGTGTAGTGCATAGTAGTGTATAGTAGTGTAGTGTATAGCAGAGGGTGTGGACTCGAGTCATGTGACTTGGACTCGAGTCAGACTCGAGTCATGAATTTGATGACTTTAGACTCGACTTGGACTTGCATAACAATGACTTTGTCCCACCTCTGGTGTATAGTAGTGTAGTATATAGTAGTGTATCGTAGTGTAGTGCATAGTAGTGTATAGTAGTGTAGTATATAGTAGTGTATCGTAGTGTAGTGTATAGTAGTGTAGTGTATAGTAGTGTAGTATAGAGTAGTGTAGTGTATAGTAGTGTAGTGTATAGTGTAGTGTATAGTAGTGTAGTGTATAGAGTAGTGTCGTATAGAGTAGTGTAGTGTATAGTGTAGTGTATAGTAGTGTAGTGTATAGTGTAGTGTATAGTAGTGTAGTGTATAGTAGTGTAGTATAGAGTAGTGGAGTGTATAGTAGTGTAGTGTATAGTGTAGTGTATAGTAGTGTAGTGTATAGTAGTATAGTGTAGTGTATAGTGCAGTGTATAGTAGTGTAGTGTATAGTGGTATATTATAGAATAGTGTAGTGTATAGTGTAGTGTATAGTAGTGTAGTGTATAGTGGTGTGTACGTGTGTTGAACTTCTTTCGCATCGTACGTAAACAACCGCGCTAATCGGAGGTACGGAAGTCGGACTAAAACAACCGAGTGACTGAATCAATGAATAGGCTCAATGAGACAAATTACTGAATTAATTACCGAAAGGATGAGTGAATAAATGTGCGAATGAACGAGTGAATGGCTGTGCGAACGGGTGACCCGTTGACCGAGTTTGACGGAATAAGTGACCGAATGACCCGGCATGACTGAAAGTCAATGAATGACTGAATGACAGGGAATGAGCGCGCAGGCCTCACCATTGAGGCGAATGAAGAACTGCCTCTTCTTGCGGTCGTGCTCAACCCTGACGAGGCTCCCGTTCTCCGCCTGCATCAGCACGTACGACGCCGCGTCCGCCATCTCCTCGTCGCCCTCCTCCTCCTCGTAGTCCCTGCAGCACAACCGCCACAACCGCAAATGTCAACCACCGAACCATGACTGACCATCACCAGCACGTGCGACGCAGCATCGGCAATCACCGCCACCGCCACACAGCATAACATAACCGCCGTTCACCACTAAGTGTCGGTGCCAGGGCAGGTGCACTGAGGGCCGCGTGAAGTATCGAAGGCCCACTGGTAGGAGGTCACGGAACAGACCCAGCAGGTGCCATGAATTGACTGAATGAGATGGCTGGCAGATGCCACCACCTGTGCTTCCCACTGTGCCACTCCCTGCGCTTGAGCCACCCGGCACTCCGTGAGCGTCAACTCCTCTGCCCTCCATTGAGTCATTCACGAGCCTCCTCCAATAACCATCATCAGCTGATACAACTCCACACTCCTCCTGCACACTCCTCCACATCCACACTCACACTCCTCACTCACACTCCTCCACACTCACCTCCTCCACACTCACACTCCTCACTCACACTCCTCCACACTCACACTCCTCACTCACACTCCTCCACACTCCACCTCCTCCACACTCACACTCCTCACTCCACTCCTCCACACCCACACTCCTCCTCCACACTCCCGCCTCCACATCCACACTCACACTCCTCACTCACACTCCTCCACACCCACCTCCTCCTCCACACTCCTCCCTCCACACCCACACTCCTCCTCCACACAACTCCACACTCCTCCTCCACACCCACACATCCTCCTCCACACTCCGCCCTCCACATCCACACTCCTACAGCACGACCATCAACAACACCCCACTAACCGCCAGCACACACGATCCAGTGATCCACCCATCTCCCCCTCCTCCTCCTCCTCCATCCTGGAGCGCAAACACTACAACCACTATTGCCCGCCATGGCCCCCACAACCATCACAACCACACAGCACAACAACCACAACCACCACTCACCAGAATTACCATCGACCACTCACCATCAACACCTCCATTAACTATCACCACCTACAACACTACCACAACCAACACCATCAACCTCTAACCCAACCAAATAACACCACAAACCGCCACCCGCCAATAATCACACCGCTATCAACCACTAAAAACCACAACTATTAACCATCGCTAACCACTACCTCCAACAACAATTCCCAAACGCCACCATTCACTAACCGCTACCATCATCAACAACCACCACCGCATTAAACAACCGTCATCACACCACCACAATCATCTTCACCCTCAACTACATCTACCACACAACCATCTTCATCCTCAACCTCAACCACATCTACCACACAACCATCTTCACCCTCAACGACATCTACCACACAACCATCTTCACCCCCAACTACATCTACCACACAACCATCTTCACCCTCAACAACATCTACCACACAACCATCTTCACCCTCAACCACAACTACCACACAACCATCTTCACCCTCAACAACAACTACCACACAACCATCTTCACCCCCAACTACATCTACCACACAACCATCTTCACCGTCAACCACAACTACCACACAACCATCTTCACCCTCACCCACATCTACCACACAACCATCTTCACCCTCAACAACAACTACCACACAACCATCTTCACCCCCAACTACATCTACCACACAACCATCTTCACCGTCAACCACAACTACCACACAACCATCTTCACCCTCACCCACATCTACCACACAACCATCTTCACCCTCACCCACATCTACCACACAACCATCTTCACCCTCACCCACATCTACCACACAACCATCTTCACCCTCAACTACATCTACCACACAACCATCTTCACCCTCAACTACATCTACCACACAACCATCTTCACCCTCAACAACATCTACCACACAACCACCTTCACCCTCAACAACATCTACCACACAACCATCTTCACCCTCAACAACATCTACCACACAACCATCTTCACCCTCAACAACATCTACCACACAACCACCTTCACCCTCAACAACATCTACCACACAACCATCTTCACCCTCAACAACATTTACCACACAACCATCTTCACCCTCAACAACTACCACACAACCATCTTCACCCCCAACTACATCTACCACACAACCATCTTCACCGTCAACCACAACTACCACACAACCATCTTCACCCACACAACCATCTTCACCCTCACCCACATCTACCACACAACCATCTTCACCCTCAACAACAACTACCACACAACCATCTTCACCCCCAACTACATCTACCACACAACCATCTTCACCGTCAACCACAACTACCACACAACCATCTTCACCCTCACCCACATCTACCACACAACCATCTTCACCCTCACCCACATCTACCACACAACCATCTTCACCCTCACCCACATCTACCACACAACCATCTTCACCCTCAACTACATCTACCACACAACCATCTTCACCCTCAACAACATCTACCACACAACCACCTTCACCCTCAACAACATCTACCACACAACCATCTTCACCCTCAACAACATCTACCACACAACCATCTTCACCCCAACAACATCTACCACACAACCACCTTCACCCTCAACAACATCTACCACACAACCATCTTCACCCTCAACAACATTTACCACACAACCATCTTCACCCCCAACCTCAACCACATCTACCACACAACCACATCTACCACAACCATATTCACCCTCAACCACATATCCCACACAACCATCTTCATTCACCGCCACATCTACCACAACAGACAAAGATCCCCCCCACTATAGCCTGTAACAGACTGCTGGGGCAAGTGCTGTTAGCGAGTGGCACCTATGAAGGCCGGCACAGCACACGAAGGGGGTCGGTGGCCATCACCACAACCATCACCACAACCATCACCACAACCAGCACCACAACCACCTTCACGAGCACAACTAAAACTAAACTTCCCTGGCAACCACCGTCACAACCACTGAGTGCACAGCCTGCAACACACACACAGCACATCTCAGCAGTCACCACCACCAACATCAACAACAACAACCACTAGGCCTGCCACCACAGCCAAAGCCCCACCACCACCACCACCAAAGACAAAGACACCCGTACAGCCTTAACAGACTGTTTGGGGCAAGTGCTGTTAGCGAGTGGTACCGATGAAGGCCGGGAGGACGAACTCTGTCTAATCCAACAACACCAGCACCACCACCACTGCCACCATGACCACCACCTCCACCCGAACCCGGGCCACTCCGTCAGCACCTCACGATGCCGAGTGGATGAGGTCACCCGATCCGTTTGGTCCACACGGAGAGGCCACCAGACCCGTGCCGGGCTCACCAGACCCGTGCCGAGCCCACTAGACCCGTGCCAAACCCACCAGACCCGAGCTGAGCTCACCAGACCCGTGCCTAGGCCACCAGACCCGTACCGAGCTCACCAGACCTGTGCCGAGCCCACCAGACCCTATCCCACCAGACCCGTGCCGAGCTCACCAGGCCCGTGCCTAGGCCACCAGACCCGTGCCGAACCCACCAGACCCGAGCCGAGCCCACCAGACCCGTGCCGAGCCCACCAGACCCTATCCCACCAGACCCGTGCCGAGCTCACCAGGCCCGTGCCGAGCCCACCAGACCCTATCCCACCAGACCCGTGCCGAGCTCACCAGGCCCGTGCCGAGCCCACCAGACCCTATCCCACCAGACCCGAGCCGAGCCCACCAGACCCGTGCCGAGCCCACCAGACCCTATCCCACCAGACCCGTGCCAAGCTCACCAGGCCCGTGCCTAGGCCACCAGACCCGTGCCGAACCCACCAGACCCGTGCCGAGCTCACCAGACCCGTGCCGAGCTCACCAGGCCCGTGCCTAGGCCACCAGACCCGTGCCGAACCCACCAGACCCGTGCCGAGCTCACCAGACCCGTGCCGAGCTCACCAGACCCGTGCCGAGCTCACCAGGCCCGTGCCTAGGCCACCAGACCCGTGCCGAACCCACCAGACCCGTGCCGAACCCACCAGACCCGTGCCGAGCTCACCAGACCCGTGCCGAGCTCACCAGACCCGTGCCTAGGCCACCAGACCCGTGCCGAACTCACCAGACCCGTGCCGAGCACCAACCAGACACCAGACCCTATCCCACCAGACCCGAACCGGGCTCACCAGACCCGTGCCGAGCCCACCAGACCCGTGCCGAGTACCCACCAGACCCTATCCCACCAGACCCGTGCCGAGCCCACCAGACCCTATCCCACCAGACCCGTGCCGAGCACCCACCAGATTCAATCCGACGAGCCGAACAAACGTGACCCGGCCCCGACTCGTTCCGTCCCGCACAGCGGAGATCCCGGGGTCGACTCGGCACCACCCCCCACCACCCACCCGATCTCGGTCCACCCAAACCCCGGGGGTCCGGCCCGGCCCGCTCCGTGCAGGCAGCCTCAGCAGCACGGGGCAGTGGTTGTTGTTGTTGACGACGATGATGATGAAGACGCAGGGCCGGTGTGGGTTGTGTCGTCGCGTTCAGCTGTCTTAGTTCGCGGCTGGGACAAACAAAGCCGTGATGATGATGATCCTTCTTTTCTCTCCTCCTTCTCTTCCTTTCTCCTCCTCCTCCCGTCCCGCGTATCTCGTCCTCTCTCGCCTCCTCCTCCTCCCTTCTCTTCCTCCGTCTC